AAAAGAGAAAAAGGCTCTCCCCCTTCCCAAAGCCAGAGTCCTATCTGCAGCTAGTCCCAGCTGGATAGCGGAGGGAGGAGTGTTACCTTGGGAAGAGACCCAGGTTCTGTTTTGCACCTCCCAGTGACCATAGGGCTTTCTCTTGCCTCAAAAGACAGACAGAGTCGTGGAGACCATCAGAGTTTTTTTATCCAGGGGCAGGAGAAGGGCAGCCCTCTCCAGCCAGCATTAGAGGGACAGATGAAACAATAAAAAGCAGCTTTCATGAGTATCCCTTATAAGCACTGAATGTTCCACATGCGAGTTCCACCCCTAATAAGTACTTGCCTTTGGTATTATGGTTACTGTTTGTCTTGTCATTGACTTGCTAGGTAGAATGGTTTCTTACTGCCTATCGATGGACATGCTGTCAACAAGAATGTGCCAGTGAAAATGGAGGCGGAAAGATCAGTTAGGAGGCAGCTGTGGTAAGAGATGATGTAACGATTCCCAGGAACTGGCTACTCAAAGCCATCTGCACACCCCTTGCTCAAGCTCCTCCCTCTGTGATAGAGGCTGGGGAGTTATTCACCTGCCCAGACTCCCTTGCAGCTAGGGAGTCACGTGACATGGCTTCTGGCCAATGCAGATGGCAGACCCTGGGAAGGGGCTCCCTTCCCCAGCAAAAAGACAAAGGCTCTCAATTAGGAGTTATGGCCGGAATGAGAAAGTGATGCTTGGAGAAGCAACAACTACCCTGTGACCATGAGAACCACTGTTGGTACCGTTCCCAATGCCAACAGTGAGGACAGTGGAGTAGAAACAGGAGGAGGGGTCAGGGTCCCTGATGACATTTTTGGGCATTTGTTCCAGTTCTGGACTGCCCGCCCCAGGCTTCCTTTTCCACATAATCAATACGTTCTTTCCCTTTGTAAGCACTGGAGCAGCGTTTTCTGTTACTCAATCCTGATCAATATGAGGGATGACGGCCTGGCCTAGAGAAGTTGTGGAGGACAGAAGAGAGGAAGTACTTGGTACTCAGTACTTAGGAGGTGGTAGAATCGACAAGACTTCATGCCTAACTAGACACGAGGGGAGGAGGGATCAGGGAGGAAAGAATGTTTTTCCCAATGTAAGGAATACAAGAGGAGAAACAGATTTCAGCAGTAAAATCAGAGGTGTGTCATCATCATTTCAATAAGCTGCTTCAGACCATACTGTTACCCCAAATTCCTACATTGAAGCCTTAACTTTCAATGAGATGGTAGTTGGGGGTGGGGCCTTTGGGAGATAATTAGCCTTAATGAGATCGTGAGGGTGGGGTCCTCATGATGGGATTAGTGCCCTTATAAGAAGAGAAAGAGACATCAGAGCTCCCCCTCTGCCTTTGAGGACCCAGTGAAATGGCAGCTGTCTACAAGCCTGGAAAAAGGTCCTCACCAGACTCAACCATGTTGCACCCTGATCTTGGACTTCCCAGCCTCCAGAACTGTGAGAAATCAATGGCTGGTATTTAAGCCACCCTGTCTATGGTATTTCATTATGGCAGCCTGAGCAAACTAATATATAAATGCTAAAAAAAAAACAGATTTTTCCCTATTGTCCCAAAATTGTGCATAAACCCCCAAACCAGGGACAATGGGCATGAAATCCTCTCACATTCTAAAAAGCACAGTGACATAGCCACACAAGATGAGCCAAGAAAGCACAGAAGCACCTCTGCTCCATGGGCATCACCCCTTCCCAAGCCCCTCCAACCTTTATCAGCAAAAGACCTGGAGGAATTCCAGAGGACTCCCTAGCCAAGGGAGTATCTGAACCATGACGAGAATGCTGTGTCTTTTCCGTACCTCCTGTGCAGCCGTGGCCTCCACCAGAGCCAACTTCAAGAAAGCCATTTGGAAACATTAGGGCTATGACATAGTTTGGGTTCCCCAGAAGGAGACTTTGAGGCAAGAATCCAAGGACAAGTGACTAACTTGAGAGATTATCCAGGTAAACTCCTGGAGGGGAATGAGAAAGAGAGTTAGAGAAAGAAAGGCAATGAAAAGGGTGTTGTTACTGAGAATCGACCACTGTGGATAACAGTGAAGACTCTGAGGGTGGTCTTCCTCACTGGCTCCCAGCGTTTCACAGCAGAGAAGTCATCCTGCTGTGAAACGCTGGGAGCCAGTGAGGAAGACCACCCTGAGAGTCATCCCACCAGGGGCAAGGGACCTGGGTATGTATTAATATACACCGACCCTCACCAGTCATCCTGGTACTTAGGCCCACTACTCTGGCCGGGATCCTGGCCACTGTGGAAAGCCCTCAGGCAAAGAGATACAGGGGCTGCCCTGGAGGTCAGCCAGTGAGCAAGCACTTTAGCAAAGCCAAGGAATGTGGGTAGGAGACCTCACCCATGCCCCAGCATCTGCTACGGACTGCCTGAAAGAAAAGGACTCTAGATCTGTGCTTCTGCAGCAGATTCTCTAATCTGCTCTTTAAGTGTAACAGAAAAGGGGAGCAAAGAGGCACAGGGTAGGAGGTGGAGGTGCAGCAGCAGGCACTCCCACTATAGCAAGGCAAAGATGCATCAGTCTCCCATAGGCAGAGAGAACACACCTGCCTTTGGGAGACTGATGCATCACATCCCACCACAGAAAGACCAAGGCTTGAGCAGTTTCCATGTCCAAAGATCCTAATCATCACCCAAGGGAGCCTGAGGGACAAGAAGCTGTGGGCTACCCATGGCAACGATGAGGGCTAAGGGGCGGTCCAGGGCTCCGACAAGAGCTCTTCATGGGGATCTCTGAGGAACCCACACAGGTGCCCCAAGAAAGAGCTAGCACCTTGCCCGTTGCTCCCAACCATCCCCCTCCCTGTCCTGGTGCAGGTCCTTGGGACTGGATCGAGCCTGAGCTGGAGGGTGGGAGAAAGGAGCATTAAATGGAATATAGGGTTGAAGTATTTAGCTGCAAATGGCCAAAAATCTCCAGGATCTGCCTACAGTATTGTTAGAAAGATAGAACAGAGCAGAATATGCCCCCACCTGGCTCAGACAGTTCAATACACCCTTAATGACAAACAGCTATTGAGTAGCAGACACACAGCAAGGTGTTCCTCAGAGCTGAGCTCACCTAATCCTCTCAGCAACCTGAGGGGAAAGTATTACTCTCCCTACTGTACAGCTGAGAAGTACGAGGCTTGGAGGCACTACACAGTTTACCCAGGATCATATGGCCAATGCATAGCAGAGGCTAACTTCAAACTCGGGCCATTGTAATTTTGGTGCCTTGCTCATCAACTGGGAGGTGAATTATGGTACACCCATCCGTAGAACACTACTCAGTAATAAGAAGGAATGGAGGGCAGATGCAGGACAGCACCTGGATGGATCACAAAAACATTATGCTGAATGAAAGGAGACAGACGCAAAAGACTACTTTCTGCAGGATTCCACTTATATGAAATTCTAGAAACGGCAAAACACACTGCCGGAGACCAGATCAGAAGTTGCCAGAGGCCAGAGATTAGAGAAGCAATGGGGCATGTGGAAGCTCTTCGGGGTGACAGAAATGTTCTATACCATGGCCAGGTGTTCCAGCTCATTCATGTAATCCCAGCACTTTGGGAGGCCAAGACTTTAAGACCAGGCAGGGCAATGTAGTGAGACCCTGTGTCTACAAAAAATAATTTTTAAAAAGATAGCCGAGCATGGTGGCGTGCACCTGTAGTCCCAGCCACTCCAGAGGCTGAGGCTGGAGGATGATTTGAGCCCAGAAGTTCAAGGTTACACTGAGTTATGATCATGCCACTGCCTTCCAGTCTGAACAACAGAGCAAGACCCCCACTGAGAAAGGAATGTTCTATGCCATGATCGTGGTGGTGGTTACACTACAGTATGCATTTGTCAGAACTTAAAATGATTGATTTTATATAAATTTTGCCTACATCGAGCTGATAAAACTGTTGCGTGCCTTGTGTTGGAGGCCCCAGGGCAATATGATGCTGGAGATGGGGCCGGAGCTCAGAGAAGGCGTGTGGGCTGCAGAGACGTGCCAGTCTCAGGGATGTCTATGAGAGGCACCTGGGAAGTGAATGAGGTTACTAGGGAGGGTTCAAAGGGCAAGGAGGGCAGAAGACGGAGGGTGCAACCTTGCAGAACCCCAATACTTATGGGGCAAGCTCAGGAATGAGACTGCAAAAAAAAAAAAAAAAAAATCAGAGCAGTGGAAGGAAAATCAGAAGTAGTGTCCAAGAAGTGACCATAGGGCTGTTATCTAAGTCCTTGACTTTTCCCAGGCTGATGTGGCCTGAAAAGCCTGGAGGAGGGGTGGAGCTAGTGGAGAAGGCAGAGGTGGATCAGGGAGGGAGGGAGCAGATCCTTTCTCAGTGCTGCAGAAAGAGAGACTGAGCTCGCTCCCCCTTCCCCGCCCACTGCATTCAACAGTGCTATCCTTGGTTCCTCAAATACAGAAACCCAGAAAACCACTTCCCATGGAGAGCTCAAGACCTCCCTCCAAAGGCGTTAGCAGAGCCAAGCAGGCTCTGCCATGGGAAGGCATGGGCTGGAGAGGAGAACAGAACTAGAAAAATAAAACACAATGAAATGACAGGTGGTAGAGGTGAGAAAAGGAGAGAGGACAGGGAGGAAATCCTAAACATCGGACTGGAAAGAGACTTAGAGATGAACTCTAATCCAATGCCCACTCCCACCTTTAAAGTTGGGAAACTGAGACCCAAAGAGAAGATCGAAGCAGCGGTGGTGGTGCTGGGGGGGCTGTTTATTTCTGTATTAGTCCATTTTCACATAGTTATAAAGAATTGCCTGAGACTGGCTAATTTATAAAGAAAAGAGGTTTAATTGATGCAGGGTTCTACATGGCTGGGGGGGACCTCAGAAAACTTACAGTCATGGTGGAAGGGGAAGCAGAGAGCTTGTGAAGGAAGTGAAGGGGGAGGAGTCCCTTATAAAACTATCAGATCTCGTGAGAACTCACTCACTATCACGAGAGCAGCATTGCGGAAACCACCGTCATGATCCAATCACCTCCCACCAGGTTCCTCCCTCAACGCCTGGTCAAGATGAGATGGGGGTGGGGACACAGCCTAACCATCTCAACCTTCTTTATTTCATTCGTTTAACAAACATTTACAAACAGCTTGTTCTACACAGTAGACAGTCAAGGTCAAACAGGGCGGAGCCTCTGCTCTCCGGGAGTCCACAGCTGGAAAAGGGATAGCGAGATACCCCTGGAAATCTGCACTTCATGATGCTCAAGACGGTCAGTGTCCCAGTCCCCCAGCCTGAGTTACCAAAGTATTGGCAGAAGCAGGGGGGACTACGGCTTTGAAGAGCCTGCAGCTTATTCAGGAAGCCCTCTTATGGGGAAATGACGCAAAATTATAAATGCAAAATTGGGTACAAAAGTAGAAAGGGCCTGTACAGGTGAGAAGTCCTGACACTTAAGCTGCTTTCCCTTTTACAGCAATTCCTTCCCTGACCACACCTGAATTCAAGGGCAAAAACCTATTTCTGAACCGGGCCAGCAGCGCCCTCTAGTGGATCCACAGAGGAAGGCCTCAAGGAGCTCTGCGCTTCAGACACATCCACGCAGGCAGCATAAAGCCACGCGGGTAAATTTGGCCATCAGCTTCCTAGACACTTTCTCCTCAGCCTATAGACCTGCCCTTCCTAATCCTAGAAGTATATAATTACTATTAGAAACTCAGAGCTCAGCGTCCAGATGTACAGTTCCTTGTAGTTCCTTGATTTGGGGCAAGTAACTTTACCCTTCCAAGCTTCAGTTTCCTTTCCTGCAAATACGTCGCATCTTCATAAAATTAAATACGTATCTACTTCAGAGGATGCGTGTAAAAAATTAAATAAGATGACTCACTCTTGTGATAGCTCTGAAATTAAAAAAAGGACTCACTTGTAAGTGCTTTATACAAAGGGCACTTTGATATGTAAGGGGTGTGTGTGTGTGTGTGTGTGAGATGGAGTTTCACTCTAGTTGCCCAGGCTGGACTGCAATGGCACGATCTTGGCTCACAGCAACCTCTGCCTCCCGGGTTCAAGCGATTCTCCTGCCTCAGCCTCCCGATATGTAAGTTATTTTTTAAAGAAAATGTATTCATGTGGCCATATTTTTCTGCTTCTGCATGAACTCTTCTAAAGATATCGCCCTTACTGCACACTCACAAAGGACCACGCAAGCCCCAAGGTGTGTGTCTGTCTCATGCACCGTTCCACAGACCCCAAAAGAGGGAGGTGGGAGTTCATTCATCTCCCCATTCCCTCCAGCACATCCCTGGCTCACGGCCCATCTCAGGCTTTGGAAAAAGTCACTTCATGGTTGAATGTCTGGAGAGGGTACAATGTAGGTATGAGGTGAATGAACACTAAGTGAGTGCTCTTTCTTTTTTCTTCTAATTTTATATTTTGACATAATTTCAGATTTAGAGAAAAGTTGCAAGAATAATGAATGATGAAGTCTCAGGGTCTCTTCCTCCAATTCTCCAAAACATGCACATTAAACTCAGAGCCCTCCGTGTCCTCTGCCCTTTTCTCTCTTGATATGCCTGTGTGTGCCTCGTCTTCTGAACCGTCTGCAGGTGGCTACAGATGTAGTCCTCTTTTGCCCCCAAATCTTCAGTACGTATTTCCTAAAAAGGACGTCCCCTTATATAACTACAATTCAATCCTCAAAATCAGGAAATTAGCATAAATACAATACCGTTATCTACCCTACAAACCTTATTATCTTTTACCAATTGGTCCCAATAATGTCAAACCCGGGATCATGCACAGCATTCCTGTGACATGAAGAAACGGGTCAGCTTCCTGTGATAGGAAGTTGAGTCCACTGATAAAAGTAAGTAAACAATGCACTAGAAGGGAAGGCGCTTCCTCACGGGGGGTGGGGGAGGAGCAAACTAATAAATAGAAAACAAATGATGGAATTAGTCAGTCACCATTTGGCAGTCATCCTCCTCATCCTCATCATCATCACCTATTCAGGTGGGAGTGGTCAAAGGTTGCTAGTGCAAGTTCGTGGAAGTTTGAAGATAACAGGATACCTCTTTTCGGTCTGACCAGATTCTTCTCTCAACCCCTGGGGAGTACAGGTGAAGATGAGATGGGGTGGGGATGCAGAGCCTAACCACTTCAACCTCCTTTATTTCATTCATTCAACAAACATTGACAAACAGCTTGTTCCACGCGGCAGACAGTCAAGGTCAGCTGTTACCTCTTTTCGATCTTTGTTGATCTGCAACAGTTCCTCAGCTGCATGTGTGTACGTGTGAGCCCATCTCATGACACTGACTTTTCTCAAAGAGTGCTGGTCCGTTCTGTTGCGGGACGTCCTTAATTGGGGCTTTGCCTGATGTCTCCTCGTCATTAGATTCAGTTTATGCACTTCCGGTAGGAATATCACAAGAGAGATGGTTTCTTCTTCTCAGCGATTCCTATGGGGTAGCTCATGGTGTCGACTGGTTCCATTACAGGTAATGTTAACGTTTTTTCTTTTGAGACAGGGTGTCACTCTGTCACCCAGGCTGGAGGGCAGTGATACAATCAGGGCTCACTACAGCCTCAACCTTCCAGGCTCAAGCCTCCCCAGTCACTGAGACTACCCACACGTGCCACTACACTCGGCTAATTTTGGTAGTTTTGGAGAGACTGAGATTTCACTATATTGCCCAAACTGGGCTAGAACTCCTGGGCTCAGGGATCCACCCGCCTCGCCCTCCCAGAGTGCTGGGATCACAGTTGTGAGCAGCTGCACTTTGATCACTTGGCTGAAATGGCATCTTCCAGGTTGCTCCACTGTTCCATAACAATTTTTTCCTCTGTAATTAATAAGTTTCTTACAGGGAGCTAATTTGAGATTATGTAACTGTCCTCTTCTCTTCAAACTTCCACCCACTTGCGTTAGCATCCTTTGACCACTCCCACCTGAATAGGTGATGGTGATGATGATGATGATGATTGCCAAATGGTGACTGACTTAATTCCATCATTTTTTCTCCATTCATTAGTTGGCTTCCCCCCATATTGTAGATTCTCGTGTGGTTGTAAGACATAGAGAGCTCCACACACTCTTTACCCAGTTTCTCCCATTGGTATCCTCTTGCAAAATGAGAGTACGATACCAAAACCAGGATATTGACATTGATACAGCCAAGATACAGAATATTTCCATCTTCACAAAGATTCCTCATGTTTGTCCTTTTATAGCCATAATCCACTTCCTTCCTGACACCATTCCCTCTTTAATACCTGGCAACTTCTAACCTTTTATTCTATTCTTCATTTTTGAGGAGCCTCCACACTGTTTTCCGTAATGGTTGTACCATTTACATTCCCACCAACAGTGTAAGAGGATTCCCTTTTCTCCACATCCTCACCAACATGTGTTATATTTTGCCTTTTTGATAATGGCTGTTCTAATAGGTTTCAGGTGATAGCCTCTTGTGGCTTTGATTTGCATTTATCCTAATGAGTAGTGATGCTGTGCACCTTTTTGTATATCTGTTGACTGTCTTTATATTGGAAAAATATCTATTTTGTTTCTTTGCCTGTATTTTAATCAATTTACTTGTGTTGTTTCTTTATTTGCTATTAAGTTGTGCGAGTTCCTTATATATTTTGGATATTAACCCCTCCCGCAATGTTGAGAAAGAAAAAGTTGGAGGCATCACACTTTCTAATTTCAAATTATATTACAAAGCTACAGTAATCAAAACCATATGGTACTGGCATAAAAATACACATATAGACCAATGGAACAAGAGTAGAAAGCCCAGAAATAAACCCAAGCATATACAGTTAACTAGTTTTTAACGAGGCCACTAAGAAGACACAAAAGGAGAATCTCTTCAATAAATGATGCAGGGGAAACTAGATCCACATGCAAAAGAATAACACTGGACTCAGATTTTATCATATAAAAATTAACTCAAAATATATTATAGACCTAGACACAAGACCTGAAAATGTAAAACTGCCAGAAGAAAACGGGGGGAAGTTTCTTGATACTGACCTTGGCAGTGATTTTTTTATTAATATCACAGCTAAAACTCAGGCAACCAAAGCAAAAATAATTAAGTGAAATTACAGCAAACGAAAATGCTTCTGCATAGCAAAGAAAACAATCAACAAGACCAAAAGGTAGCCTACAGATGGAAGAAAATATCTGCAAGTCATGTCCTGTTGAGAGTTCTTTATGTATTCTATATTCTGGTCCTTTTTCAGACACGTGCTTTGCTAATATTTTCTCCCACTGTGTAGAGTATCTTTCCATCCTCTTACCAGTCTTTCACAAAGCAATGGTTATTCATTTTGATAAAGTCTAATTAATCACCTTTTTCCTTTTATGGATCATTTAGTTGATGTCAAGTGTAAGAACTCTTTCCCCAGCAGTAGGTTCTAAAGGTTTTCCCCCGTGCTTTTTTCCAAAGTTTTCCTAAGTTTTCATTTTTGTACAAAGTGTGAGACTTAGTTCAAGGTTTTGTTGTCATTGTTGTTTTGCCTTTGGGTGTCCAGTTATTACAGCATGACTTGTTGAAAAGGTTGCCTTTCCTTTATTGGGTCATTTGTTCCCATTTGTTAAAAGTCAGTAGGGCGTATTTGGCCAAGCAGGGTGGCTCATGCCTGTAATCCCAGCACACTGGGAGCCTGAGGTGGGCGGATCACTTTATGTCAGCAGTTTGAGACCAACCTGACCGACATGGTGAAACTTCTTCACTAAAAACACAAAAATTAGCCCAGCATGGTGGCACATGTCTGTAGTGCCAGCTACTCAGAAGCGCTGAAGCCCTCAGGAGGAGCCTCCACACTGTTTTCCTTAATGGCTGTACCAATTTACATTCCCATCCACAGTGTAAGAGGGTTCCCTTTCCCCACGTCCTCACCAACATGTGTTACATCTTGCCTTTTTGATAATGGCCATTCTAATAGGTTTGAGGTGATAGCTACTTGCGGTTTTGAGTTGCATTTACCCTAGCGATGCTGTGCACATTTTTGTATGTCTGTGGACCATTTTTATATTTGGAAAAATATCTATTTAGAATCGCTTGAACCTGGGAAGTGGAGGTTGCTGTGAGCCGAGATTGCACCACTGTACTCCAGCCTGCGCAACAGAGTGAAACTCTGTCTCAAAAAATAATAATAACTTTTTTTAAAGTCAGACGGGTATATTTGTATGAGTTAATTTCTATGTTCTGTAATCTGTTCCAATGATCTGTGTATCTCCGCCTCCGCCAATGCAGAAGGTACTGGCAATTACTGTAGGTGTGTAATAAGTCTTGAAATCAGGTAGACTCATTTCTCATACTATATTCTTCTTTTTCAAAATAGTTTATTTTGAAAATTATTCTAGTTTGTCCGTCTTTCTATATAAATTTTAGAATAATCTGGCCCATAGCTACAAAAAAATCTTGCAGAAATCTTCCCAGGAACTGTGTTAAACCTACATATCATTTGGGGAGAACTGACATCTATACTATGTTAAGTCTCCCAGGCCATGGAAACATGTCTCTCCATTTATTTACATAGTCTTTAAATTTATTCATCAGCATTTTGTAGTGTTCATCATAAAATCCCCATACATGTTTTGTTAGATTTAAAC